CCCCCCTCCGCTCCACCCGCGCGGAGATCCTACAGAAAAGAAAAGGCGGGTCTGGTAAGGCTCTTGGGGACCAAAAGGAAATCTCCTAATCTCTGGTCCTTTCTCTGGATCGGTACATACTGTGCAAGCTCCGGGACTCTATCCCGGGCGTGACCACTTCCAGGGTTCCTGGAGGCGCGGGGCAAAGGGGAACGGGCGGGCAAGGGCTGCCCCGGGAACCCCCGCCGAGCCGAGCCCCCCCCCCCAGCTTTCCCTCTTCCTCCTCCTCCCGGCGCCCTCGCCTCCGCGCCACGGCCCTCGCCTCCTCCGGAGCGGGGACTCCAAGTGCCCCCGGGAGGGTCGGCGCCGCGCGGTTGGAGGGGAGGAGGAAGGCAGGCAACTCAAAGCCTACCGTCTTCTGCTTCTTGACCCCGGACATGCTGGTTGGCGGCGGCGACGCCCGGCGCGCTGGAACTGGGAGCCCGGCTCCTGGGAGCGGAGACACTAGGACGCACGGATGGCGGTGGCAGCGACTGCTGCCGGACTCCCGGGAAGGAGGTATAAAAAGGCTCCTCAGACACGTCGCACTTCCCTTGACCAGCCCCCTCCTCCTCCTGCTCCTCCCGCCGCGCTCCTCTCCGCCCCATCGGCTCCGCCAGCAGCGCCCAACCCAGGGGACCCGGCCGCCGCCTGGGCGGGGTCCCGCCCGGCTCCCTACTCGCGGGAGCGGCGAGGCCAGCTCCGGTCGGAGGCAGGACCTTGCAGCCCGACGGGCAGACTCGCAAGCGGCGCGCGCAACCCGGGGGCAAACTCGCCCTCTCCCTCTCCACTCCCAGTGGGTCCCACAGTGTCCCCCACACCCCATTCCACCCCGCGCCTCTTCAAGGAAACCTTCCTGCCCCTGGGACCTGAGAGTTTACTTGGTTAAAGGCAAGGATGCTTGAAACGGCCAGACTTGTTGGCATGGTCCTCAGCGGGCACTGACGCCCCCAGATCGCCTTCACTTGCAGTAATAACAGCGACGGAATCCATTGACTGAGCCTGACTCTACTCTCTGCTGAGCTTTGCCTTAAGTCTTATGCGCCCCCGCCCCAGGCATCCAGTCCTACTTTGTCCTTATGTTACAGATGAAGCAATTGAGGCTGTCAGACTTTCTCGAGGTTATATTCCAAGTGAGGGATTCAAAACCAGGCTGGGAGCCTCGACAGTCCGGGCTTTCTATACCAGCATCATCGTATATGATGATGATAAAATCGAGGCTTTGCTTACCTGCGCATTATGTTCCAGGAATGGTACTAAGGGAGTTATATGCATTCACTCCTTTTGGAGCTCACAATAGTTTCCTCATGTAACGATGGGCCAGCTGAGGCACTTGCTCCTTCTCACAAAACCAAGTAAACAAAGCCAGCCCTAGAAAATGGCTCATGGCGGTAGCCTAGCGACTTGTTTCGGTCCATCCCCCAAAGTATTCCCATAGTAATTCTGTATGTTCAGCAACTAGGATGGGCCCTGGGGGGAAAGAGTCAAAGGAGACCCAAGTTGAGAAGACTTATGGCTAGACCCCAGGGCTCCCAGGTTTTTTATCAGAGGACAGAATGAGGCAACTCTCTTGAAGAATCCAAATGTCCGGGACAAGCTGACAAATGGAGGAGAGAAGCTATGATTAGTGACAAGCATCTTGAGGGCAATCATTAGGTCTCACACCTCTTTGTACCATAACTCCTTGCAAAATGCCACACACAGAGCAACAGGACATTACAGGCAAAAGAATGCTGAAAATACACAAGTGAAGATACACAAGTGAAGATACACACTGCTCTTTCCAGCTCCGGTCTTCCTCCTGTGAAAGGGCTGGAGAAGTTATACTCTAAGGGGTGAGGGATGGAACTTTTCTTTCATAACCTAATCGTATTTCTGGAAGACTGCCAGCTGTCTAGACAGACACCTGAAGATCTGAGTATTCATTTGCCTGCTCTCCTCCATGTATATTTATTTTCTTACTCATTTTGAGTAAGCTGCCACCACTCCCTTCAATGGGGAGCTGCTGGAGGACCAATACTGGGTTTGCATTTCTGTACTGCATACAAACTAGCACGTGCTGAATTTATATGATTTAAACAGTAATATCCCATTCTAATTGCATTGGAAAATTCCTTTTGTATCAGTTCCAACCATATCTTGGACCCTGCCAGATACTGCATTAAGAGAAAAGGTAAGTGCGGATGGAGAAATACCAATTTGCATAATTTTTTTTTCATCTTGCCTTTTAAAAAGGTGTGTTCTTGAAACAGAGGGAAGTTAAAGGCAAATCCCTAGGGCTACTTCCCTGTATTTTACAGGCGGCAATGGAAAGCTGGTGCTGAGAGAAAGGAGGTAATCTGACCCTGGTTACTAGTCGGGCAGAGTTAAGACTCAAACCCAGGTCAGCTGACTCCCGCAATGCTCTGGGCACTGAATCGCTCAGCCTCTAGGTCAACTATTTCAAGACCCCATAATAATGTGAAACTAGACTGTTTACCTGGTTTTAGGTTTAATTAATTCTCAAATAGTATTTTGGAACAGATATTCTTTTTACTATCCCCAAAGACGTGTGACAATAGGAGGCCTCAGCTCCCTTGGACACAAGCTGCGTGGTTAACGTCACAGATCATCAGTTTAGCAGTAATTCAGCATGGCAACTCACTTAAAAGTAAAATAATCGTACTTTTTTTTATTTTCCCAGGGTCTTTCTTTTAAAGGTGATGTCTTGAATTCTTTATCATCTCACTACCCTCTTGCTACTAGGAGAGGTAAGTCCTTCTGAAAAGATATGAGCATCTAGACGCTTAATTTTTGGAGTCAACAATTCCAGCACATCAGAACTGGGAGAAGACGCAAGCAGGGGAAGGGAAGAAGGGTTGAGGTCTGTCCTTCCGTATGGACACACTTTCCATAACTTTCTTAGGAGTGTTCCCTGAAAGACTCCACTGTGAAACATTGTGGTCTTCATTGTACCAATTTATAATCCTTGATACTACTCACAACATTTGCATGAGGTATTTTTTTTTTCTTCTTCCTATTTTCTTTCTTCCAGGAATTGACTGGGCTTTAATAATTAACATAATGAAGTGGTGATTACTACTTGGTCCTTTTATTAAGAAAAGATGGAATTAGTCAGCTCCTCCAAATAAACAAGGGAAACACGTATTCAAAGAATACCAATGTTGGTGAGATGTTTAGGCCACAAGTTCTCCAACACATTTTGTGGGGGAGGGCTCATCACATTTTAGGGGATCTAGCTTGTAGGCACCTCCCTTGGATGACCATTCCAAAGAAATGCAGCTATGTTGCCCCCTAGTGGTTGTCGTGCATAAAAGAGACCTAATCGTTGAAACCCCTCGTACTAAAGTAAGTACTGTAGTTACAATAGTATCCTTGGGTTAAGAATCCCTTAGAGAAAGTAGGCTAGGATCCAAACACTTTTCCTAGGCACAGGAACTACCATAATGAGCAAGATATGGTTCCTATCTTCAAGAAACTCAAAATCTAGTGAAAGAGACAGACTCTGTCCCCTCACCTTCACCCCAGTCACTTGAGTACAATACATGACACTGGGACAGGTGAAAATGATACATGCATGCCTTAGACATTTTATTTTGACTTAAAACACATGTACTTCCCTAATTTTTGATATAGGGCTAAGGGCTTCTGTTTTGGTATGACTGTTTTGGTATGACTATGCTGTTGGGAGTTCCAAACACCACTCTCATAAGGCATCTTCAGCAGTTTCTAGTTTGGAATTTTATAAAGTGGAGTTAAAAATGAAGGGCACTTCAACCATGTGTGAGGAGACCCCTTCAGGATGTCTTACATACCCTCCCCCGATCTGTGTCTGTTCTCTTGCCCACACCTAATTCAACAGTATAATTTTTTAGCAGCTCATCTTTCCAAAGCATCCATCTGCTCTTATAAGAAACACAACTCTTTTCTTCACTCATATGCTATGCATTTAAGTCACATCTAACTAAATGACTTAATTATATTAACAGGTACAACTGGCATCAGTAGGTTTGAGAACAAACACAACGGATCTCCGTAAGCATCCCGCTTAGGAAGTGGGGGTGCAGAAGTGGGGCATTCCAGTGCACCCTAGTGTTAAGGAACATTCGGTTTGCTGTGGGCATTGGTCATTATCTTTTCCAGAAGAAATGGAGAGCATGGATTAAACTGGCCAGTCAGTGAAAATAAACGATATTGTAGGAGCACACAGGAGGGACATCCGGTTCAACTTTGGAAGGAGGGGCAATGGAAAGACATGTAAGATTTTCTTGGGGAAGATGGTACATGAGCTGAGACTGGAAAAAAAGGGTAGGGTTTTGCCAGCCCTCCTCTCCCCAAAGGAGAGGGGTGTGTAAATTCAAAAATTTAAAGGCAGAGAGCCGCATGAAATAACCTGGTATGTTCAGAAAATTACAAGTGTCTGTATCGTTGAGTTTAGGAGATATAATAGAAGAGTGGGGGGAAGGTTGTAATAGAGGACCTGCCATGTGCTATCAGGCAGCAACATGATTTTGCATGTTCTCTTCCTCATGCTCGTCAGATGCGTTAGCCATGTGGCTGGCCTTCCATTTGTTCATTAGTCATTATGGACACTTCTCTTGTCCAAGGATAAGTCAGTGTCTTGAGGTGTCCTTGGTCTGGTGGGAGAGATGGATACATACGCAAATAATTCCAAGGGAATGTGGTAAGTGCTTGAATAAAGTCATATTTGAAGCAATAGGGGAAGCACACACACACACACGCGCGCACACACACTGACTACTGGACCATGAAGAAATGCCAGTGGGTGGTGATAATTTAACCTGAGTTTCAATGATAAGAGAAAGCTAGATAGGAAAGTGATTTGTCCATACAGCGCGGCCCACCTGGATCACACTGATGGCCCAGCTGCCTGGGCTGCTCTTCCTGGCTACATGGAGCACCCACTCCCTACCCTGCCAGTCCCTGTGCCTCCTTCCTGAAGTGCCCCAGCCTGACACTAAAGACCCAGGTAGAGCAGAGAAAAGCTGCTGACAGCCAGACTGCACAGCAACACTGACCCTATCCCCAAAAGGCTGCCCACGGAGCTTAGGTAGCCAGCGGGGCCCATGCTTCCGGGCAAAAGTAGTGGTCTTCTGCCATTTCTGGGTGGAGTCCAGCCCAAAGCATTGGTCTACTCTTTTTACTAGTTTAAAAAGAAGTACAATTATTAGTATATGCACACATTATGCAAAGTAGAAATAATTAGGATATTTAGGGAAATTCACTCCCAAATAGTTACATTTGTTTCATGTCAAGCAAATCAATTACTTCAGCCAATTAATTGGTTGAATTTTTCAGCCTTCAACAGGTTCTTTTAAAAGATGTTTAGCAAAGTGGAAGATAACTTAATCCATGTCACTTAGAGGCTTTACATTATTAGCAGAAATATCCAAGTAAACTTAGCTAGATTTTAAGGCATTTTATAAGAGGAAGGAAGGAAGGAAGGAAGGAAGGAAGAAAGGAAGGAAGGATGGAAGGAAGGAAGGAAGGAAGGAAGGAAGGGATATTGTGATATTTAGCCTAAAGTTGAGAAAATATCACAAAATGATATATTCAGAGAAATAAGAGTTATAATTACAGAAATTTGTCTTTAATTATGGAAGGACAGAAATATTTCATTTTCAAATAACTTATATGGGGTTACATGGTAAGTGCTCTTTTTTCCAACATAACTGAGAAATGTGGTGATATAATAAAATTAATACCATAATTATTAGAGAACATCAGGGATACCATAAATGGATGGTGAATTTGCAAAAGATTGCAATATAATATGTTGTGCATAATTTAATTTATTTGTAGGTCCCAAACCTTCTGGAAGGATTTTATCAATTTGGGCAGTCACATCATGGAATGATAAGCAGTAAAAAATCAATAAAATACCTCTCTCTCCCTCTCTCTCTCTCTCTCTCTCTCTCTCTCT